GCCGAGATACGGGACACCTGGTCCCTCACCCCAGAACTTGACGGCTCAACTCTGAACCGTGTTGTCACATCGGGCGTCCCGCCCATCCTAGCCTCAGGATCGTCCACCCGATCTGCGAAGCTCGCAGGCAAGACCCCACGAGCTCCGACCTCCAAGGGGGAGGTGGTCTTCTTCTTCTTCCTCCTTCGCTTCAGAGGGACTTCCTCCCTCACCTCCTCGCCCAAGGGCGAGACGTCCACCGCCTCGGTCTGATCCCTGGGGCGCTTCTCCCTCGAAGGACCCCTAGAAGACTCCAGCTCGATCACTGGGGCTGGATCTTCCGAGGCTGGCCCTACCACAGCAGGAGTGACAGGTTTCGAACTTTGGGCAGCCTCAAGAGCATGGGCTTGGCCCTTGGACTTGCGTTTCACGTTACTCGCAAACCCGCAAACCATGGCTGCAAAACAAAGAAAAAAAAAGTCAGCACAAAGTTAGAGGAAAAGAAGGGGGTAGAAAGCTCGGCATACCTAATTCGGAGTTCGGCCTTGAGGACTCAATGGGACGAACTGCAGGGTTGTAATCTAGCAGCCCGGACTCAAGCAGCAGCTTGTCGGTCACCAAGGTTCCGACCTTCCTACCCCTCGGAAAATGCTCCTTGTAGTATTTCAGTGTGTCGAAGGAGGCTTGCGTAAGCTCGGGGACTGGTCGGATTGCAACTGCACGAAGGCAAAATCCGAGTTAGACCTGAATGACAGGAAAGAAAATCACAAAAAGTAAGAACCACTCCGTACCTAGGTTCCCAAACCTAGTGGGAACGTCAAAGAAGGAACGACCTGACTCGTCCTTTGCAAGCCATTCCCCAGAAGCGTAGAACCACTTCCTCACCCATCCCTTGATGGAGGTCGGCCCCTTAACTATACCGCATGCGCCTTTCCTTGCGCACATATAGAACTGACCAGGCTTCTTAGCTATCCTTTTCGCTTCGAAGCAYGCGAGGAGCTGGTCTACGTCCAACAGCTCGGCCTCTTCACTATCCCGAGCTCGTAGCCAAAAAAGGATGGCCAAAGCGAAAATGACACCCCACCCATTGGGGGCCACTTGAGCCGGAGCCAACCCAGTYCGGAAGAGAAATTCTTGGACAAAAGGGTGAAGGGGAAGCCGGAGGCCGTACTCAAACATTTTGAAGTAGAGAGTGACCCATCCCTCTAGAGGATTGTCGGCTCTCTCCCCCTCCTCCGGAATCCTAAGGAGGATGTTCTCAGGGATAGCGAACCCCCTACGAAGGGATCCGAGGTAGTGCTCAGGTATCCTAGAAGGGTATTCCAAACCCTGACCCGAGGTGGAGGCATCACTATCCTCCCCGTCATCGGAGAACCTAAAGTTTTCTATCTCCTCGAGCTCGGACTCTAACCTACGAGCTAAATCCTCATCGGATCCTAAGTTGCTGTTAAAAGAGGACGACATGGCAACTACGTTCAAAAGAGAAAGTGAGGGAAGAGACCGACCTACCAAGGGTTCGAGCTGCCTTCAGATCGAACTCCAAGAATTCAGGAAACGTAAGGTATGACCTGAAGGGTTGGGGGTATTTATAGCTCGTCGGAAAATTTCCCCACCGTACATGTGTAATCAACGAGCGGCTAGGATCCTCCCGGAGATCCGAAGCGTCGGAATATTTGAATATTCCGATGATAAATCCACCGCAACGGTTATGTTTTCCCACGAATAGGGAGTCGCCAAGTGTCTGAAGCAAATCAAATGAACTTCTCTGCCAGGTCGAGATCGGACCAGACAGAGAGGGGGCCAATGTTTGGGGGAAAGAATACCCTGGACACGTGGAGGACAGCCATTGGTGCCCCAAGGTGACCATGAGTCATGCCCCAGCTCGGACCGCCGAGATCACCACCANCTACGAGCTAAATCCTCATCGGATCCTAAGTTGCTGCTAAAAGAGGACGACATGGCAACTACGTTCGAAAGAGAAAGTGAGGGAAGAGACCGACTTACCAAGGGTTCGAGCTGCCTTCAGATCGAACTCCAAGAATTCAGGAAACGTAAGGTATGACCTGAAGGGTTGGGGGTATTTATAGCTTGTCGGAAAATTTCCCCACCGTACACGTGTAATCAACGAACGGCTAGGATGCTCCCGAAGATCCGAAGCGTCGGAATATTTGAATATTCCGACAACGGTTGTGTTTTCCCACGAATAGGAAGTCGCCACGCGTCCAAAACAAGTCGAATGAACTTCTCTGCCAGGTCGAGATCGGACCAGACAGAGAGGGGGCCAATGTTTGGGGAAAAGAATACCCTGGACACGTGAGGGACCCCTATTGGTACTCCAAGATGACCCATGAGTAATGCCCCAGCTCGGACCGCCGAGATCACCACCACTAGCGTTGACAGATGCTAAGTATGAGGGCCGAGGTGAACCTGGCCGAAGTCCGACCTACCGGGAAGCTCGGTGGGGGCCGATGTGAGCTACTGTCAGCGGCGTGATTATCGGGCGTAACCGTCGGTCCCGAGATTACCGGGTGTAACCGACGGTCCCGAGATTACCGGGTGTAACCGTCGCGAGATTAGCGGGACTACCACCCATAAGTAGATGACTTCACTCCACGATCAGGTACGATGATTTCTGACCTCGAACTAAACTGGAAATCCGACCTATACTAACTTGATCGTCGGAGTACTCACCTTTTTGTGCAGGTCCGCCCAAGTATTCAGATCGGTCCGGAGGCCGAGTTCGAGCTGCAATCTGAAATACACTATTGTGCATATCCTTGCATAAACAAGAGCAATTCATAATAATAAAGCATGTGCTAGGGTGTCTAAATTGATAGAATATGTTAAATGGTTATATGCGGATATAATATATATGTATAACTTTATATGAGATTGGGACTTCAATAATTAAATATTATATCCGAATATATTTTATATCTATTATTAAATAACAAATTGCAAGATACAATCCAGTTATGTTGCTTTTTGTTGCTGTTGAAACTTTTGATGTTATACTTCATAGTATCATTAAATCGTGGGTATATTTTTCAACTATTTTGAATTTGAAATCATGGGTAAATCTACATATTAATTAATTTAGAAATTGAAATCATGATAATCCTTTTACAATTAATATAGACTAATTCATGTACTAATCTCAATTAATAAGTGAATTAAGGGATTAAGGTGGGCCCACAATAATTAAAGGATTATGTCTACCATTTAATTTAAATATTTTATATTGCAACAAAAAAATTAACAATAATAAATATAAATCCAATAAATAAGGATAAAATCGGTATTATAAAAAATTCTAGATGCAGAAATCTAAAAATGTAAAATTGGAAAACTTTAAACATTTGTGAAAATAAGTTTTTAAAAGAGTCTCACGAATGTATTAACTCTATCTAAAATGATAATGTTTTTATAAAAAGATAGTAAAAAGACATTAATTTAATTAAAACATCAAATTCATGTCGACTTGTGCTGAGCATAGTCGAGTGGCTAAGCCATATATTTTTGGTCTATGAGATTTGGTGAATTAATTTTATATTATATTTTTGGATTTGAAAATGTTTTATTTATTATTTTTGGATTTCCTTCATAATTTCCTTAAGCATTAATTATTCATTTTTGTAATTTTGTCTAATGGATTTATTTGAAATTTGTGATATATTTGATCGAGAGATTTGAGGAATTGATTGTTTTCCTTGTCTCATTGTCTTTGATTTGACTAGCCTTAATTTTTATTGATAAATTGAATATTTTCCATAATATGGTGAGTAGTTTTATTCTTTAAATATTGAAAGGTGGTTTACACAAAGGATTGATATATGGTTTACACAGGATTGATATAGCAGTATTTTTCTTACTTATTGATTGATCCAATTGTGTCTTTCTTACTGCTTGATCCTTTGTTGGTGAAAACCGAAAACAGATTATTTGTTCTCTTTTAGTTATATATATTGAGAACGTACTTCGTTTGAAGATGGTGATCGTCATAAACGGTTATTGAATACACTGAACGTAGATCGTCAAAGAGATTGGAGCAAGGGATTGCGGCATAAAAATAAAGAAGAGAGTTCTTTTAAATTTATGCACAAGACAATATGTATTGTGTACTATGGGGTAGGTAGTGAAACCGAACCACGTTAAAAACGTCGTGTGTTCATCTACCTTTTTAGCTTTGCATATTTTTAGCATTTTTACAAGTCAAATTAATTTTTATTTCTACAATTGAAAAGTAAATTTTACATTCATCGTTATCATCCATTAAGACATTAAATAACTTGGATAATTAAGTCGTTTCAGGATTACATGGTAATATGGCATTACTATTTTTCTAATATTTTTCTTTCTCTTATTTCTCTTCATCTTCTCCAACGGGTATAATTGGTGCCAATTGTTGACTATCGTCGTTTTAGCTGTCTATGAAATTTGCGCCATTGACATAGGGAAAAATATAAAAAAATTAATTAAAAGATTAAAATAGAACTTTTAAAAGTTATGGACCAAAATAAGATAATCTTACAAATTCATAGACACTAAAATATGGTTTAACTTAAATTTTCTTGTGTTAAGTTGGGGAATAAAATAGAACTTTTAAAAATCGAGGGAGTATAATAATGCAGATTAAAATTTTAAGAAATAAAACTGAAACAAGTATGAAAATTCCAGATTTAAATTTTTTTTAACAACTTTAAAAAATAATAAGAAAATTCATACATGCATTGCCCATGTGATGTATTTTAACATGCATTTTTTTTATTTCTAGACTTCCTTTGATAATGATTAAAATTATTTTTTTAAGTTATTATTATTTTGAAATCTTAGCCCATTTTAAAATTAGACTATAATTTTTTTGAGTAAAATAAAATATAAAATTTTGGTTAAACTATTTTTTTCATTTTTAAAATTTAACTAACATTAAAGTAACATTTTAAATTTAAATACACTTTTATTATAGAAGATAAGTATTATTTTAATTTTAATAAAGGTAATGAAATAAATAAAGTATATGCTAAAGCAATTTTTTCTTTTTTCTTTTTTTAGTACAAAACAAATTATTATCAAATAGGCATTAGCTCTTGGAAATGCATGTTACTTGGTGTCTTATTATAAAGGGTTAAATTGGTAAAATGATCAATCTACCCTAAAAGCTGGTAATTAATCCATGTTAGGGACTTTTGTTGTTTTTTACAATTACAACCTTTCAAACTTTGTAGGTTAGTTTTGTATGAAATCCCTAATAATAGCCTTTGATTTTTTTTTTCTCAATTAGGTAAACATCTAATGGTTGTCTGGTGAGATTAATCGAGATGCATGTAAGCTGGTTCGGATATATCAAAATAAATAAAAAAAATTCAAAGAAAATATGAGCATCCAAAAATATTTAGTGTTCGAAACTAACCTACTATATATGTTTGTATATAGTGTTGGAACACTAAATAATCTAACTTTTACAAAATCAAATTTAAATAAACTAACTTTTTTTACAAGCAATAAATTAAACTAACTTAAAATATAGCGTAGATATTTTTTAAATAAACTCAAAAAAATAATAGTTGATTTGAATTTGATTTCTCTACCATTTGAAATCCGGAAAAATATCAAATGTAAGAGTATGAGATTGAATAATCCACTAAACAACTATAGTTTGGATTAAAGATTGCTTGCATCAAGTTTGTTTATGCAAGGATATGCACAACAGTGTACTTCTGGTTGTAGCTTGAACTCGGCCTCCGTACCGACCTGAACCTTTGGGCGGACCTGCACAAAAAGGTGAGCACTCCGACGATCAAGTCAGTATAGGTCAGATTCCAAGTTTAGTTCGAAGCCAGAAATCATCGTACCTGATCGTGGAGTGAGGTCCTCTACTTATGGGTGGTAGTCCCGCCAATCTCGCGACGGTTACACCCGGTAATCTCGGGACCGTCGGTTACGCC